AAAATAAGTCGACACCAATAAATAGTGATTTGCATACATTCGCAAACACAAGGAAATAATCAAATGTAAGTCAGAAGATGTTTCCAGCTAGAGCACAGCCCCATCATTTTAGTTCTAATCTCAGCTTCAGGCACCAATGCATCAATGACATCCATGAGGTCAAAGGATTAAGCTTTGCACTGTGCCTTCATGCCCCACAGCCCTCCAAAGACTGTTCCAGCTCCAGTCCCTTCCCAGGTGGAGAGCTTGGATTGGACGATTCGTGAGGTTCTCTTAGCTGCGTGACATCTCTGTGTTATTGTCAGTGTGTGTGTGTGTGTGTGTGTGTATGAATACACAAGCGCTTTGTTCTTCCTGCCAGGACAGGGCTGGGCTCTTTGGGGTTGTACAAAGGTGGAAGGCATGAGGCATGAGCCACTCCTTCAGGGAGGGACCTCTGTTATTCACCAGTGAAGGTGAGCCTCTTGGAGACAGGAATCCTCCGCCAGTGAGGTTGCAACCTAAGGCCAGCTCATCCTAGCCTTGTACATGACTCATTATTACTAGACATCCTTATAATTTTGTAACTGCTAGATATTTATTCAAGAACTGTAAATAAGACCTGGAGTTCATGAAGAGATCAGAATTGGAGAGAAAAAATACTTGCACCTATCTTTTAATGTCTTAATTTAATTATGGTGTCAGACTCTTGATTGACCCCAATATTCATTGTCTTTGTTTTCTACATAAATACAACTCGCATTGTTAGATGGAGATGTCTATACATCCTCATATCCCTTTTATGGGCACCCAAATTTGGTCATATGACTAATTTCTGGAAACAGCAAATAATAGAATTTTTGTCTACAAAATTGAGGGAGGTTTGCTCTAAGAAGTATGTAACTTCCTTCATTTGTGATAATTTGCCAGTTACGTTACAGACTGATAAAAGTGTCTTTGAGGCAGCAAGTAGGAAGCAATAACTTGGAGTTTCTTGTTCAAATGATAAGAGCAGTCATGGCTCCCGTATAGGTCAGATGCAAATCTAGCACCAAATATATCCAATGTCCTAGAACCTGTGTACATGACTTTCTGACAAACAAAACCAAACTTCACGGTAGACATACACTCACATGATAAACATGGTCAGATCATGTGAGCTTCTCCTCTCTGTTCTTAAACCACATGTTTATTTAGTTTGTTCTCTGCTTTGACGTTTCTCACAGATGCTTGAAATTCATCTTGTCTGACGTGCACAAAAGCAATATGAAGAAGAAAACTCACACAAACAGAAAAATGATGAAAGTTTTGTCAGATGTTTAAAATGGTGTATTCTTAAATAAATAATTTAAAATGCACCGCTGCCACTAACATTCAGTGGATAAGTGTTAAAGTGATAAATACCAGAAAGTATGACATTGGGTTAATAATTAAAGCTAGGTAGGCTTTAGATAAGGTTGTAGACAAGCTAAATCCCTTACCTACTGAACATGCACACCTCACTCAGAATTGTTATAAGATTTTTTATAGCATTTTTTAAAACATTGCCAGGTTAGATAATCTAACACTTGAAGAGAGTTCCCCGAACTCTATGGACTGTCTAATATTCTATTAAATCATTAAAGCCTAAAGCAAAAGCAAAATCTAAGAATGTATTCCAATCTCCTTTTTATTAAGCACAGAAACCAGATCATCTCAGAGAAACTGAATGTGGAACCTGGAGCCCCTCCACATCACTGTTTAACCCAGGAAGTGCATCTCTCGGCCAGGAGGCTGCATGAAGCCAGAGAAGGCAAGTTTCTTTGCTGTTTCATTCTGCATCACTGTTAGGCACATGAGAGCAGAACTCTAAGCATAGGTTCCTGTTACTCAAAATGGCTTGGAGAATGCAGAACTTTGTGTATTATCCTTTATTGGCAAGATTTTTAAAGCCTAAAGTTGTCTTTACTCATATCACAAGGCAAAATTTAAACTATATATGGAAGAACACTCAAAACCAGCAAAATTAAGCTTTCTTGTATCAATGTATAATAGAAATAAATTTTTGAAATTGTTCTGAAGAAAATGGCATGTGTAATTATTCCCTTGCATTTTTACTCTTAAATATAGATTAATGATATTTCTAATTCACATGATATCACTCTTCATTCTTATATTCTACCAGCAAGTAATTTTGTAGTACTTATAATAATTACTCAAAGACTTAGTTATTATGTTTACCGGTACCTGAGAAGTAATAAAAGCAGCCTATAAATAGCAAAATCAAAGGAATGATAGCATATCAACTCTTTTGCAAATCCCATTTTCTCTATAAATCTCTAAGATCTAGTCTAGTTTTAACTGACCTATCATTTCAGGGGGAAAAAAGTAGAATATATGAAACTCACACATTTTTGTTTTAAAATCTGCATCTTTGGCTAAGAGCATGCCTTGTTGGGCCAGTCTGCTTTTGCAGGATTAGTAGGCAGAGGGTAAGCAGGCAGGATTCTTTCCCGCTGATTTCTTTTCATATGGGAAAGCTTATGCATCAAGTAAGTATTAATCGCCCAGAACACAGGTAACATCGAACAATTCTTGTGTCTCATCACAAATTATAAGCAACATGCCCTTCCAGTTACAATGTTAAGTACAGGCCAATGTAATAGTTGTAGATGTTCTAGGCAGAAGCTTAAAATAGCCGCAGAGATTTAGCGAAAAACAAGACTTGAGGACGACAGCAATAGTACTCCTGAGAAAGTGTGGTGTGGGCTCTTACAATACAGCTCGTCTCCACCTGAAACCTACCTCCATGTGCCTTTGCTTTTAGTACTATTTTATCCCCTGTGTCCTCATATTCTTTAATTCAGAGTCCCCTCTGCCTTACATTCAGTCCTTGACTGAAACATTCATTGCTTATTTCTCACTCATTGCCAGATTTTTAGTTTCTCAACATGAAAATCATTTCTGTAAAGGTCAACAGGTATTTATTGATTTTTTAAAATCACTTTAATGAATATTTGCTTCTCTCACTACTGGCATAAAAATTCTTAAAAAAAAAAAGAAAAAAGAAAGAAGTGAAATACAAGAAATTGAAAGGAATCTCAGTGGCTACATGGCAAATAGTAGCTAAAGAACTAGCAGGGAGAAACTTACATTGAGTCAGATTCGCACAGAATCCTCTTTTCAGGTTGGATGTTCATTGCAATATACCCCTACTGGCTAGTTTTCATGGTTCTGTAGGTTGCTACACATGTTGTTGGAGAAAAAAAAAATGAGTTGATTTCACTTGCAAACCTTGAAAGCAAGAACAACTGGCCTGTCAAAATATACCCAGTGCAAGAGTAGCACAAATGTTAAGGGAGTAACCAAAATTTTTCTGATTAGATCTAAACCCTGCTCCGTAAGATAGAAATCATGCTCAGTACCATTAGCCATTCTGAAAACCCATGGCTTCCTAGGTCATAGGCTCTAGGGAAGGCCTAATAATATTATTCTGCTAAATTGGCAGAGTGATGAACTGCCACCTAAATTCTTATCTTTATACACACATGTTAGTATGTCTCTTAACCTTCATCAGAGAAGTTTCTCCTTGCAATATATGTCAATTAACACAGAGATGCCCTTTCAACTGGTCAAAGAGTGATTGCTTTGAGGATGCTCTCAGCCATAAATGGGACACTCATATCACATCCCTCTGCCCAGTGCTTGGGGATCTTTGTAGAAGTTTCGTTCTAAGAGGCAGAAGTGGTTGGTAACTGCAAAGAAACAGTGTTTTCCAATGCTCAGTAGATGAGCTACACATAAGACTTTACAGCGGTTGTAGTGACAGCATTCACAAGACGTCTCTACATAAACTTCAACTACACCCCCAAAAAATTAGCATAGAGAGGAAAACTTGGAGAGTAAACTCCATCGTTAGTTGTGGAACTGTTGGAGTCTGATAGTTTCTGGGAGATGGAGAGTCAGATAGACTAACCATATTCCAAGGACAAAGTTCACTTCCAAGACGAAATGGGTAACACAAGCCAGGCTCAATGAGAAAAGAAGAAAAAATATGAAAAAGCAATTACCTCATAGTTGGTTAGGAAAGGATGGGCGTATTGAAAAGGTAGTTCTGGGAGGATTCTGGGAGTCCTGAATCAGGAAATCAGACTATGTTCAAAATATATTACATAAAATTCCCCAAAATTAATAAAAGTAATGCTGGAAGGGTTGATAGCGCCAAGTAGGTAATGCCACGCTTTGTGTTCACCTACAAGCGTCACTCAGAGTCTACTGAAATTTTGCTTTTGCATCACTGAAAATGGTAGGTCTGTCATTCATAGCCAAGCTGTGTTAAGACAGTAGGCTAGTTTGTTGAGAAGTCAAAGATAAGACTCGGAGGTGGCATCCAAGATTAGGTTTATTGGAACTTGCAAACAGGGAAGCTAGAACAGCAAAAAGTCAGACAAAACTACGACTCAGTGCCACAGGCTAGACAAACAGCACCTCTGCCTAACAGGGTCCAGCAACAATGCCTGTCCTCTCTACAAGGTTACCATTCCTGGATATCAGGTTTTCACCAGGTAGGCCTAGTGCCTCCTGTCCCCTCCTGGATACTCCTTCACCAAGTCCCAAGGAGAGAAGTTGGAAAGTTAGAATTTATAAACAGTAACATGATTGTCTTAGCTGGCTTTGTCCTTGTATGGCCAGCATGCCAAGGAGAGACATAAATGCAGAAAATATGTTCTCTTCTATAAAGCAATAGTTCTCCCTAGTTCCCAGCATGTGTGGGAGGAACTCGGTGACTTCCAACTCTCACCCAAATTTCGTAGTCTTAGTCCCTTTTCTTTGTCCCGGGCATTGTATAAGTCTCAGAATGAGAGAATTCCCAGAAAGTGACAGTAATTGCTGAAGCCCTATCTTCCTCGGGTATTAAATAACCAGGGTAAGACTATCGCCACATGAAAAGCAGTATAGCTTAATGGAGAACTGTGCTTTGGGCTATCATAGCAGGCTTCAGAATCTCGGAACGGTCCCCCTTCAGCGAGACAACTGAGAGTTTACACTAGGTAATCATATTCAATAATGGCTTCATGTTCTGTGGTGGCGATAGTCGTTACTGTAGTGGTCGTTGTGGGCGTGGTGGTAGTCGCGGCTGGGGTGGTTATACTAGTAGAAGGTGCCGTGGTCTCAGATCCAGGTGACGGTGTTGAGGTAAGAGACGGTGTGGATGCTGAAGTGCAGGGCTCCTGGCTGGGCCTCCCATCCGTGTTTATGATGATGGTGGTGTTGGTGGGGTTGCCAAAGGGGCGAAAATAAAGGGCCAGAGCTGTAATGGCTGTGGCAAGCAGGCAAGCCAGCAGACATATTAGAAATATTTTCCAGAGTGAACATGGGTTTTTCGTAACCTGGAAAGCATTGCAAGAGTGATTAGTTCTGCAGTTTCAAAACGGTACCAGGTCACAGATCTCAACTAGAGTAAGGCTACCGCATTTCATTATTCTAAAGGCTGTCATGGATACACAAATGCCACCCCCAACACACACACACACACACACACACACACACAACATACGCACAATCTGGTGAGGACAACAAAATCCCTCAGTGATCCCATTTGTATTAAAGCAGTAACTTTTCATGTTAAATAGATTTTCTTAGCAATCATTATGATATTATCAGTTAAAAACCTCTCAACATAGATAAAATGTTCTAATTAGCAGTGGCAAGCATAAAACTGAAGACACATTGAAGGAGTTGTCTTTGGAAGGTGGAAAACTGCAAGGGCTTTTTTTTTGTTTTATTTTTGTTCATTGTTCACTCTTTCTAAAATTTCACATTAAACATTAACATTCATAATTAAATTTATTTATTAAATGCATTTGACATATCTAGCATAAATACAAGGAATCCCATCGAGACATTCAAACAGAGACAGTAAATCAGCTTAACTGATGAGATTTCAAAGACACACAATCTAGTGCTATTGTCTTATGGCAGACCTTCTGATGTCCCAGGAACCTCACAGAAGGGCCAGGGGAGGACTTGACTGTCCTATTTCAGCTTATTCTACAGAACAATAGCTGTGCCTAACCACGCTCCTCAGACCTTACTTACCCCGTGCAGCTCACACGCCACATAGTGCGACCTGCAGCCACAGTGCGCTCCTTCGGGTGAACAGTGTGGATGCCTTAATAACTGCACAGAAAGAGACAGACAGTCAGCACGTAAGCAGATAACAAGTCCTAAACGTTAAGAATTAGGAAGGTTTGTGAGAGCTGGAAAGACAGTACGTAAGACAAGCACAAAATAATATGAATGTAACGTGGAGTAACAGAAGCGCTAGGTAAAGTCGAGGGGTATCATAATGGCCTAGTGAAGTGACACAGATGTGTTTGCGTTTCACACCAAACGATCAAAGAGGGAAAATGAGTTGATCATATCAGTAGATGTCTCAGTACCCATTAACAAGTGTAAGAAGTTTGACTCCTGACAAAAGGAGTCAAAATAACTTTGCATGAACTAAAATTGAAGGAATAATTCCTAAACGGGGCAGGAAATGTTTACCTCAAAATAATGACCAGTATGTTCTAACAGTGAAGCATGAGGGGCCTCCCGTTACCGGAAGGAGAACTGGAGAATGTTTTCCTGAAAGTGCTGCTGAGTAAATATAGATAATGAAAAAGACAAAATGGCCAACATTTGCAAAATAGTCTATTATCAGAATCTTGAATAATCAACCATATAATCTATCAAAATAACAATTCACTGAGTTCAGCAGTTATAAATATATTAAGAAAGGTATATAAGAGCCATTTCTTTCTCTGTATGTCACTGCTCACAGCAGTAATGAAGTACATGAAATGCAGAAATACATAAAATATAATAGGATTCTCACAAAGAAAACCATCCACCTTTATTGAGGAACACAAGGCAATTTTAATAAGCATCATCTTACAACAAGGTTCAGTGGTAATATAACCTGTCAGTTCCCTGAATTATAAGCAATATTAATTAATTGATATACTGTGAATATAACTGTGATTTTTTTAAAGAAATGCTTTGGTTGTTTGACGATAATTCCATGTGATGAAATGACAAACTAAAGAGATTAGATTGAATTAAATTTGAAGAGAAAACAACAGTGACTTTCTCTGGGTAGGATTGTGGGCAGATTTTTTTTTAATTATTTTCCTAAATAAAAACACATAATTGTTCAAAACAAGGCTCTCGTGTCTCAAGTTTGCGTTCCACAAACTGAACAGGTGGGTTCAGGTTACCTGTCAGAGTGCTGAAAATGGTAAATGGTAAATTCTAATCTCTCCTTTGTTTCACTTTTCCTTTCTTCTTCCTTTCTTTCTTTCTTTCTTTTTTTTTTTGTCATCACAGAACTTTGGCTGATTTTCTTGGCATAAGTAAATATGTTACAGAATGGACTGAATTGCATCAGGATTTTGGTTATTGTGAACAAACTCCATCAATCACATTCAGCGGCGTATGGGGACATAACCAAACGGCTGGACATACGAGCTTAAAGCAATGGTGTCGTGCAGCATTCTTTTAATGCCAGGGGAAATATAAATTAAGTTTATCATAGTCTAGTTTCAGAAAATTCATCTGCTCTCATGTGCAGCTTCAAGGTACAAAGTACTATTCTACAAAGTTCCAACTTTGTTGTTATTTTGGATACAAATTATAGTTGATAAAAGTCACTTTCTTTGAACTTAAAAGCAGTTTAATTTGTTTGTTTTTTCTATAAAGGAGTATATTTGATGAAAGGAATTCAGTTGCTGATTCTGAATAACTTCTTGTACTCAGAAACATTTCAATTTCCTCATTTGTGAAATGAAGGCATTAGTTAGAGTATAGAATGAGACCATTCAGATTTGTTTTCACGAGTCTAAGAAAAGCCTGGTTTACACATCAGTAATGTATTATCAACAAAGTTCTCCCCTCCACGAGACATTTTCTATAACTGTTACCTTGATTACAAGTAGGTGGGAAAAAAATTAACAATAATTATTTACAGTGAACTAATCTATGTAAAAATAAGAGTAATGTTGTAATGGTTGCTATTAATATAACCCTTCAAATCATCTAACCATGTTGTTGTTGTTTTTGTTTTCCATGCAGTACTTTATCATATGTTTTGATATAAATACTAAACCACAAACATTCCCAGTTCTCAGGCATATAAAAATATGGTCTGACATACTATCCCACTAGCAAATCCATGGTAATGACAACTAGATTCACTCTGCAATAGTAGAATTAAAAAGTCCCTGCAAGGTTGAATGTTGAAACCAAGAATCTGAAACACTATTAGAGCCATTAAGAGTTCTCAGAGAAAGACAATGCAGCCAGTCCTGATGAGACCTAATAGACTAGGGTCAGAGGGAAGGGGAGGAGGACCTCCCCTATCATTGGACTGGGTGAGGGGCATAGGAGAAGAAAAGGGAGGTAGGCTGGGATTGGGAAGGGGTGGAGGAGGGAGCTACAGCTGGGATACAAAGTGAATAAACTGTAGTTAATAAAAATTAAATTAAATTAAAAAAATAAATTCAGAGTTCTCTGCAGCACTCACCTGCTCCGCCGCAGTTTGCTCCACATTCAGAGTATACTGCTGCTGCTTTCTAACCATTCTGGGAGACGTGGTCTCAGCTGCAAGTCCAGGAGGCTCTGGGCCAACTCTGGGGGTTACAGTGAAGAAGTGCTGACGCTCTGCTAGCTTAATAATTGAGCCTTTAGTCAATGGGAATTCTATAAACTAACAGTTATTTATCTTCTTGGAAAAGGTCTACAGGATGCTACACAAGTGGATAGAGAAAAACAGAGCTACTGGTTGCCTTTTAAAGTGCCATGGAGGAGTGTTCTCTTATATCTGAATGACCTCAGGACGCAGGGAAGATATATACACTCTTGCTCAGTTCGTTTCACTCAATTTCTCACAGTTTAGGAATCTTGTAAGGCTCCTGGACCAGCTGCACGGCCACTCCCCGATTATTCACATTGAGGAATCCTATACCTAAGCAAACAGAAGGATTAGGGCGTTTACTAAACTGCTAAGTGTTCAGAGATAAGACGTGCTGAGGTTCTGGGATTAAGATAATTTTAAGTTTCATAGTAAATACAACTGTCTTTTTTTTTTAACAGACACAGTCTTACATTCATAGCTTGGGTGCATTTCCTGTCATGAACAGTTTGGTAACAGCGATCACACACTTGAAATGAATAAAGTTTCCCTCTAGGTTTAAGATTATGATTCTACAAAATTAGACAGAACTAAATACTTTCAAAGTCGTGTAATAGCAAAAAAAAAAAAGAGAGAGAGAGAGAAAGGAAACTACTAATGCTAAACACAATTATAAAGTTTTGAGCAAATATAATTAGAAAAACTTCTGTCATTAAACAAAAATAACTATATTTTATCTTCAAAAAAAACAATAAATTTAGATGGATGGTGGAAAACATCTACTGTGTTAATTCAAATCAGTGACTGTTGAGATGAACAGGAAAAGCAACATTGGAGTGATTTCACCTGGAGGTAAATACCAGAGATAATAGAGTTCACAGCCATTCAGTCTTATAAATTAAGGATGACGTAGAGCTAGTGTCACTTGCTTTTGGGGACACTGTGTCTTGCTTTAGGCTTTATAGTGATTTCCCCAGTTTTCCAAGACTATTGATGGAACTCTTTTGGACCAGAAAGGACTCAGAGAAAGAAATTATTTTCCGTGTTTCACAGCGGGGGAAGTGGACATGATACAATAGGAGGTGATGTTTGGAATTAACTTCAGAGTTCATGAACTCTTCAGAGTTCAACCTATGCAGATTGAAACTATAGTAGAAAACAACAACAAAAATTGACTTCAAAGACCCTGTGAGGCCCAAGTTTCTAGAAGTTTCTGCACCTTTGAGGAAGCCCTACACTCATGCCCTAACTCAAGAGAAGCTAGGGAATGGGCAGAATGCTATCCCAACAATAGTATTCTTGGGAACAGCACACCTGTACAGCTCCTGTGGATAGGATCCAGAGCTGAAACGTCTTGATTATATGGAATTTCTGTTTTAGATCCTCAAGGATCCTCCGTGCCTTTTCCCAAAATGACTAAACTAATTCATATTCTCACAATGTATGGTTCCCTTTTCTCTCTATGCCCCCCCAACCTTGCTTACCTTTCCCCTCTTAGATAATAATCATCTTTAATTTAATTTTATTTATATATTTATTTATTACAATTTAGTCACTTTGTATCCCTGCTGCAGCCTCCTCCTTTGTCTCCTTCCAGTCCCACCCGCCCTCCCTCTTCTTCCCCTATGCCCTTTTCCTAGTCCCCTGATAGTGATAGAGCAGGACATCCTCCCCTTCTATCTGACCCTAGTTTATCAGGTCTCATCAAGGCTGGATGCATTGTCTTACTCTGTGGACTGGCAAGGCTGCAGCCCTCAGGGGGAGATGATCAAAGAGTTGGCCACTGAGCTCATGTAAGAGACAGGCTCTGTTCCCCTTACTAGGGAACCCACTTGGAAACTGAGCAGCCAATGGGCTTCCTTTGAACAGGGGTTTAGGTCGTCTCCATGCATGGTCCTTGGTTGGAGTATCAGTTTCTGCAGGCACCCTTGGGCCCAGGTATTTTGGCTCTCTTGGTCTCCTTGTGAAGTTCCTGTCCCCTCCACGTCTTTCTATTTTTCTCTTCTTCCATAAGGTTTCTGGCACTCTGCCAAAGTTTGGCTATGAGTTTCAGTATGTCCTTCTATACCCTAATGGGTAGAGTCTTTCAGAGGTCATCTTTGGAGGAATCCTGTCCTGTTCCTTGTCTTCTCCTACTTCCAATGTCTATCCTGCTTGCTCTTCTAAATGAGGAATGAGTATATATCAGATGTGTCTTTCTGCTTCTGGGTTCCCTCACTCAGGATGACCTCACACCCATCAAAATGACTAAGTTCAAAAACTCAAGGGATGATACATGCTGAAAAGGGTATGGAGAAAGGGGAACCCTTGGTTCCCCTTTGCTGATGGGAATGTAACCTTGTACAACCACTTTGAAAATCAATCTGGAGCTTTCTCAGAATATTAGAAATAGTGCTACCTCAAGATCCTGCTATACCACTCCTAGGCATATACCCAAAAGATTCCCCACCATTCAATAAGGACATTTGCTCAACTGTGTTCATGGTAGCTTTATTTGTAATAGCCAGAGTCTGGAAATGTCTTAGATGTCCCTCAACAGAGGAATGGATACAGAATATGTGGTATATTTACACAATGGCATTCTACTCAGCAATTGAAAACAAGGAAATCATGAAATTTGCAGGCAAATGGTGGGAATTATTTAATATTAATATTTATTAATATTAATAGATAATAATTATTTAAAAGGTGGTACCTCACTATAGTTTTGACTTGTAGCCCCTGACAACAGTGATGTTGAAAAGATAACACCTCATTTACCTGCTAGCCATTTGTGTTTTTGTTGAGAAGTGGCTATTTTGGATCTTTAGGTGGGGATACTGGTTTTCTTATTATGAATTGTGAGGTTCTTGTGTATTTTGGACATGAGTCCATCAAATGCATACTCTACAAACACCCTCTCTGTGTGGGTTGTCTGCTCACTCTTGATTGTGTTCTCTACTGTGCAGAAGGATGGCAATCCGCATTCATCTGGTTTTATTTGGGGGTCGTATCTAAGAAATTGGACAGCCCAATGCTGTGTCACTTTCCTCTGTTCTCTTACAATATCTGTTGCAGTTTCATACCTTGCATTTTTATGACTTTGATCTGATTTTAGGTGGATGATGCATCCTAGCTACTAGAAGGGTAGAATTTTCTGAATCTGCTTATAGTATCAGTTTTCCTAACACCATGAACTGAAGACACTATCCTTTCCCCATTGCGTGTTCTTGGCACATAGTCAAAATATATGAACAATAAACATGTAGATTTCACTACAACTTTGTGTATTTATTTTAGAGTGCTCCATTTGGCGATATATACCTTAGGATTAATTTTATTACCAGTGTGTGTGCACAGGCACGTGCATGTGAGTGCCCACAAAGGCCAGAAGAGGGTGTCCTGTCTCCTGGAACTGGAGTCACAGACAGTAGTGAATTGCCATGTGGGAAGTGAGAATTGAACCTAGTACTTTGGCAAGAGCAGTGAGTTTTCCTAAGCAATAAGACATCTCTCCAGACCCATCACTGTATTTTTTTTTAATTCCTTGTATTTGTACCACAAAAACTTTATAGCAGATTTTGAAGTCAACATCTTATGGCTTCCAGTTTTGTTTTGTTTGCTGGGGCTTCTGGTTCTTTGTGTTCCTTTCTTATTTTTAAGATTTTTTTCTTTTTGCTTCACGAAAATTTTATGATTGTTCAGTTTTCTTCCTGTGAAGATAATACTGATTTATTTTCTTTTCTCTTTTTCAGGTGTGGTGTGTGTGTGTGTGTGTGTGTGTGTGTGTGTGTGTGTGCCTTTGTCCTGGAAGAACACATAGAAGCCAGAGAATAACATCATAGTATCTTCCTCCAGGCTATATTTTGAGGCAGGATCTCTCATTGAACTCATCATTTTTGCTAGACTTGCTGACCAGCAGGCCTCTAGAATCTGTTGACCTTTGCCTGTCTCTGTGCTAGAATTACAAACATTCTCTTGTATACCAGTATTTTCACATAAATGCTGGGGTCCTCATGCATGGATAGAAAGCTCTTTACCCTCTGACCCATATCTCAAGCCTGCAGTATTAAATTTTTGATATGAGTTTTCCTGAATTTATAGATCAAAATGTGTAACATAAAGTAACAGTGCTAGTTTTTCTATCCATGAACATAGGATATCTCTCTTTCCACTTCTTTGTATTTGTGAATCTATGATCTCTGATTGGACTTTGGTACTAAAATGGATTTTCAAGAGCTGATGGTATAGTAAGAGATAAAATGTTTCATTTACTTGTTGTCTACCAAAGTTAGCATTGCTGTTTGGTTCATGACAGTTCCTTCCCTCAATACCAGCCCCAGTGGCTTCTAATCCTAGAATCAGCCTCCATTTCTCAAAGGATGCTGAGAGTAGTGCACCTTGATGCCTCCTAGTAGGAAACAGCGTTTCCACTGTGGGAATGTGCCCTTTGTTTGCTGATTCACCGAAGATACCAATTCTTGTCAATCCTTTAATCTAAACTTTACCCTTAACCCCTGTGGTCTAGCCTAAGTTTTCATGTCTTAAGTCACTTTGTTTTGTCCTTAAGACTTGTTATTCACCTTGTCATCAGAGACACAAGGGGTGCTCCTCAAAAAAGAGAGAAGAGAGTAGGTGCCTCTCTTTTCTAAGTTTTTAACTTTTTGACAGTTTCTTACTTATATACAATGTGATCACATATCCACCTGTTACCTTTTTTATTCCCACCCACATGGATGATTCACTTCCACTCAGATGTCTCCCCCACCCCCACTTTGGTATCTTTATAGTATCTACATGCAGGTCTCATGTAGGTGGCCACAATTGTGAGTTAATTATGACAATAGCATTTAATAGTCCTGTTCTTCATTCTTGCAGTCTTTCCACTCTCCACTCTACTATATCTCTTGGTCTCAGAGTGGGTGACATAGATGTCCTGTTCAGGTTGAATGTTCAGCACTCCCTTATTC